GGTGCGTTCTGTGGGGGCCGGTCATGTTCTGTCTCTTGATCAGGAAGCTGGTTACACAGCTACTTTCAGTTTGGGAAAAATTCATCAAGCTGTACACTCGTGTGCACTTTTCTGTATATTATATTTTAATATTTTTTTCCTTTTTAAATAAAAGTATTCGAAGTCACCAATAAGATGTCTTTATGAGGATATCTAGGGGCTAAGTATCGTTAATGGACTTGGATTAATACTAGTCAAATAGAATCTCAGATTCATAAAATTTTAAACTTGGAAGAGACCTTAGAAATAATTTAGTTCAGTTTCTAATTTACAGCGGAGAAAATGCAGGCCAGAGGGGAAGTGGCTGGCCCCAGCCCACACAACGAGGTGAAGACCAGGCAGCCCAGCACCCCTTCTCCTGGCCAGGGCCCTGGAGGCACAGCTACAGTTATGATAATGGAACAGTTATCAAAAGCTAAGCTGTTGGCGACAAATATTATATTTACTCACGTAATTCTCTGGTGGTTTTGGTCTAAAATGAGGAATTATTATTCTTGCAAGTCACCTACCGTTCCTTAGCAATCTGTGGCAGGATCGACTGACATCTACATCTAAAGCTTCTTTTGTAGGTTCTTACCTCTTAAGTCCAACGATCCTCTTAAGGCTAGATACGTTTGCGAAGGAGGAGGGAGTTAGTGTACCAGTGATCGAACTGTGTTGCTCCCGAACAGGAGTGTATTTTTTTTACGTTTGGAACTCAGTTTTCTTTCAGAGATGCAGAACAAGGTGATGGTCTTTTCTCCTTCCCACCTTCTTCTTCACCGGGGGAACAAAGTGCTGGGAGGCATGGGAGGTATGTAGGCCTCTAGAAGAGGGGGGCCAATATGAGGGGTGCGGGTGACTGGCAAGCCCTCCTCACTTCACTTCTCTGCTGCCTGCCAGCCTTGTTTCTAGCTACTAAGCCAGGGCCAACGCCCAATCTGATCGAGAAAGGCCTACGTGTGCTTAATTATGTAGGTCTTATCTGTCTATGCAGAAGCATGAGCTCACTGTGGCAAACCTACATTTTACTTAGGATTCCTTGCTACTTGTTCTGCTTGGAAGAGGCACATAAAATAAATACTGTGAGTCATTTGGGTAGTGGACTGGAAACTCAGGATTTATAACTCAGGTTGCCAGTGTCGGTGTGGGAAATGCTGCATTTGTAATTTCAAACAAATAAAATGGGTTTGGAGAAGCATGGAGAAAAGGGAAGAGGAGGGAGAGGCAGACAGAAAGAAGGAGAAAGAATGAGAAAGAATGTGCCAGGTAGGGGCCTTTGTCGCTGAAGTTTGTGCTTTTGTCCTGAACAAAAGGCAGGAGGCCTTGAGCCGGGCAAGTGCAGAATCCCATAGCCAGGGGGAGAAAACACTTTACGCAAGGATTTAAATAGGGAGAGAAACTTATAACCCATTGGTGGTACCAGAAAGAACAGCTCATACGCAGAATTTATTAATTTCCACCATTGTAATTGCCTCTGGCGGTGTGTACAGCAGGAAATACCGAAAGAGGGGACAGCCCTGCCCCTGCAGGTCCTCCTGATAACTCAGCCTGTGAGCAAGCAGAGACAGGGCAAACAATTCACCTTGTCCCCTCCTGAAGGTCAGGCAATCAGATAAGATGGCCCAGGGAAAGCCTCCCAGTTCTTATAGCTGTTGGGGCTCAAAACCCTTTTAGAAGTAGGGGGCCCCAGCCAGGCCTCGATAGCCCACCACGGACACAGTTTCTGGAATCTCCTCGCCTAGCAGAAAAGGGACTTTGCTTTTGCTCCATCTCATCAAAGGTCTAGCCAAGTCCAGCACCACCTCCCCATCATTTAAAAAAGAAAAATGCAATTTGGCCTCTTTTGGGGATTTAGTTCGTCGAACATGGTCACGTATCTTTGAACCTTTCCTCCCAGCCCTGTGTAAATTTGTGAGTGAGGTGGGAGCCCAGCCCAGCTCTATCTGACTGCGTCGGACACCCACATGCAGATGAGTAAGCACATATCTCACCCTTCCTCCCACGAGACCAAACCAAACAATGGACTATACTGGCAGGGTTATTTGGGGGCTGTGACTATAAAGAAAAGCAATGGAATTGATGTCCATGAATTATTGGTGGAAAATCTGTTTTGTTAATATTGGAAATGTTTAAGTAAACACAAAAAGTACCTATCATTCAGATTTAACAAATCGTTAACATTTTACTATTTTGCTTAAGATCTTTTATGGTTTTAAAGTGGAAAAAAACCCAAAAAACAAAAAAACACCAGGTATCCAGAGGAGTGTAAGACACCACCTCTTGATAGGAGAGTAATGTGTGTGCGCAGGGGGAGAAGGTGATGGTTACCTTTGGGAGAAGTCTCAACTCCTTTTACGCATTCAGTATTTCTCTGTATTGCATCCGGATGAATTCTTCAGTTACTATCTTTTCACTCACTAATTATCTTTGTGACTATAGTCAATCTAAATTTTATTGCATCTATTGATTTTTTTAATATTTTAATGACTTTTTTTTATTTCTGAGATTGCTAATTAGTTCTTTTCCCTATCCATCTATTCTTATTAAAGTATTACTCGTTTTTGTTTAGTGATTTTTTTATTGATTTTTTATAGATTATATTTTTTATCTCTTTGAACACTCTCAACATAACTGTTTTGAACTAAGGAAAAAATCCACCAATTTGAGAGATATTCGTGTGGTCAGATTGATAGGATTTGCTGCTGTTTTGGGTATGACGAGGGTGTAGGAGTATGAAGAATAACTCTTAGGTTTTATAGCTTATTTAGATAGAGAGAGAGCACGTGGAAAAAGACCAGGTTTGCAGGAGAACGTTTTGAGTTCAGTTCGAAAGTTTTGTAGTTTTATTAAGGCAGTTGGACAGAACGTGGCCACTGATGTCAATTCTGAATATGGAATAGGAGCAATAGAAATACTCCACGATGGCTATAATCTCAAGCTCTACTTTCATTTAATTATGAACTTAAAATTTTAATTCTTTTATGTGCAGGTAAATAAGCATATTCTTAGCAACTTTTATACTACTTTCCTTGAAAATTAGCAATTATTTACTTCTAAACATTTTTATATTTCGATCACTATCGTGGATCTAAATCCTTTCTCCGGGATTAGGAGTGAAAATGAGGGAACTGACAGGAAAAAGTGAGGGTAGAAAAAAACACCAGATCCCCAATTCATCCCTGCCCTTCACATAAGGGTGAGACACCTTCTAGGACCTTGTCACCCATCTCTTTCTTTCTCCGGATGTCTGAATGTATTTCCCACCTTTGAGTTGCTCTTCTCCTTTTCTCTATCATTTATCTCCCCTGCTTGTCCTGGCCCAGATTGGGAATCAGGAGATATGACCCTGAGCACTTAGTAGTCTGACATCGGACGGGATGGTGGAGGGGAGGACATGCTGCAGAGTGGCAGTGAAGCCTGCTCCCGGCGATGACCGGCACATTCAGGGGGCAGTCCTCCCCAGATATCATGCCAGGAGGACATGTCTACAAACGATTGCAAGAGAGATTGGCGCACTTAATCCCAGTCCTATAGGCTAACGGCTTAATAATGGAGGCTCAGAAGCTTCATCTTAAGTTAATGAAGTGATATGATGCCTCATCAAAAGCATTTGGTAAATATTCATCGAATCAACAAATGAAGAAATAGACTTGGAGAGAGTAAGTAACAACAATACAGCAAGAGCAGCAAACCCAAATAATGGTGACTGTGTGTTCAGTGCTTGCCGTCCGAAGTGTCTTATGAATTTGGAATTTGTTGATCCTCACAACAATCTTATGAAGTAAGAACTCCTTGACTCCATTTTCACATGGGATCCTGAGACACGAGTGGTTTTACAGCTAGCTAGCGAGTAGCAGAGCTGGGACCCCCCCTGCTGACACACACACACACTGTCTGTCTCTCTCTCTCTCTCTCTCTCTCTCTCTCTCTCTCTCTCTCTCTCTCTCCAGCCTTTAGCAACACTGTGCTACCCTCTCTTTCTAAGTAACCTGCCCAAGTTCATGCATGGGTACTACTTGAAACCAGGCCTGTCTGACATCAGACTATGTGCTTTTAACTTACTTCTATGGTCTGAATGTTTGTGTTTCCCCCAAAATTCATATGTTGAAGACTAACTCCCAATATGATAGTTTTAGGAGGTGGGGCCTTTGGGAGGTGATAGATCAGAGGGTAGAGCCCTCATGAATGGGATTAATACCCTCAAGCAAGAGGCCCCAGAGAGTTTCCCTATCCCCTTCTGCCATGGGGGTACACAGCGAAAAGACTGTGTCCATAAACCAGAAGCAGGTTGACCAGTCACTAAATCTTCTGGTTCCTTGATCTTGGACTTCTAGCCACCATACTGTGAGAAATAAATGTCTGTTGTCTGTAGGCCTCCCAGTCTATGGTATTTTGTTATGGCAGCCCAAACTGACTAAGACAACCACAATTCTATACTATTTCCCTAAAAGAAGATCATTGCCTGTCAGGAAAGTTTCTGTATGTCAGAGCAACCTTCGATTTCACGCTGCTTCATTTACCTGATCAATGAGTCCATTTCCCTCTCTCACAAGAGAAAAGACAGAGACAAGAACTATTAAAACTAATTGCTTATCATCATGCAAAAAAAAAAAAAAAAAGATGTAGTCGTTTGTCTAAAATTTCTATTCATCCATCATCCAGGAGAATGGAATCGAAAAGTTATTTTCCAAAACTAGCAACAGAAATCTTTAGCAAAGCGAGGGCTTGTAAAAGCGCAGACCTCAATACTTATTGTTGAAACAGATGATGGAGGTTACCTACTCCAACGCTCTCGTTTCCCAGGTAAGAAAATGGAACAGAAGTTAATAGTGCCTCATTCCAAGCCACACACCGAGTTAGTGGCGGCCGGAACTGGAAGCAGATCGCCTGACTCGCTGTTTTACAAGCCCCCCCGTACTCCTGCTAGGCCTCAGATTTCTCTCTGTGGCCTGAAGTAGTTAGCATTTCATCCATTCATCCTCAGTCATATATTAGTTTATTTATTCACCCCACAAAGTATATAGAGTGTTTTCTCTGTGCTGGGCATGGAATGGGAAGGACAGATATCATTCATGCTTTCATGGGGCTTAAAGTTTATTTAGATAAGCCATAAAACCAACACACAAATAAAAAAGAAAGGAGCGCATAGTGAAAACTGCCATGATGAAAACGGGGATATGAAAAAAAGGGGTGCCTTAGCTTGGAGGTCAACGAAGGTCTCGAAGTTTCATTTCAGTCGATTCCTGGCTGGTGACAGTGAAGCAACTATCTCGAGAAAGCATTCCAGGGCCGAGGCCCCTAGAGGAGCAGGGGCTCGGAGAGTCTGAAGAACATAAAGAACAACCATGAGAGGAAGGGAGTGAGAGGGGGCGATCTGTGGCATTGAGTGGAACACTTAGATCAAAAAGTCTGGTTGAGCCATTAGGAAAGATGGTTGTAATGCCACACAGCAAGCTGGAAATCAGTCACGGTACAGTGTTGAGGGGAGGGGCGTGAGCAGGATATAACTGTATGAAAGCCATGACTGCAGCTACAGAATTCACACATGAAAAGCCTGTAAAGGAAATGATTGGAATGATTGTGTAGAGTGGTGGGATTATGGGTAATAATATGATTTTTTTCCCCATTTCTTTAAAAATTATTCCCAATTTTTTCTCTAATTCGCTTCATTCCTTAACTGGAAAAACAATACGTAGCTGATACTTAAAAGAATAAATTTAAAAAAGGACTAGGATCCTGGGTGTTCTAGATTAGATTTGGGTTACATTTTTTTTTTCACTTAAATATTTAAGCTGTTCAAAGGGATATATGCGTACAGATTTTTAAAAATCAAGTGGTACCATAAGACATTGAAAAATAGCCATCTGGCCCCACCCATGCCCAGCCCCAGGTTCCATTTTCCTGAGGCAACATCTTTCAAGTCTTTTGGGCATATTTTTTCCTCACATTCAAGCCCAAATTTCTAAATAACATGGTTACATTTTTATTGCTTAATTCTTCTACCTGTGTTAGATTCCACTCTTTCTTAGCCCCCATATCGGTTTATTCCCCTGTTTTCCTGGAGCACGGCCTCCTACAGCTTCTAGCCAAGTGCATGCACAATAAACTTGCATGTTTAAATAAGCTTTTTTTCTATGCTCACATGTGATTGGTCATTCGGCTGTGTATGGAACTGTAGGAAATAGTTTTTTCTTCAGATGTTCGAAAGCATTGTTCCACTCTCTGTGAAGTTTAATTGTGGCTGTTGAAAAGTTTGATAGCTTTCTCATTCCTGATTCTTTATACGTGACCTCTTCCTCCTATTTCCTACATCAGAGCTTAAAGGTACTTCTCTTTACCCTTATTTTATTGAAATTTTTCTCAGTGTGACTTGGGGTGGAATTTTTATTATTTTTTTTTTATTGGGTACTCAATTGACTCTTTCAAACTAGGTACTTGTCCTTCAATTTGGGGGCATTTCTTTGTGTTATTTCTTTAATAATTTCTTTTCTTCATGCTTTTTCCTCTTTCCTTTTAGAACTCCTGTTATTTATATGATGGAACACTTGATTAATATTCACATTTTATTATCTTTTTTTGTACAATTTTCCATCTTTTTTCTTCTTCCTGTAATAGCTCCTTGACTTCTTATCATCCAGTTCTTTCTATTGAATTCTTAAATATCTGCTGTGATATTTTTAATTTTTAAGAACTATTTCTTGTTCTGTGGTTCTTCCTTTTTATTACATTGTTTTTCATAGTTGCAGAATTCTCTCTCACCTTCGGATATTAATTGCAGTTTGTTATCGCTATAGTTTTCCTCTGTTCCTGCTTCATTTCATTTCCTCCAACTTCCTTTTTTCAAACGTTTTTGTGCATTTGTTTTGGTATATGACTTTCACGTTGGGAGTGTTCCTCAAATGTCTGTTAACACACGGCCATAGTTTTACATTTAATACAGAAACACAAAAGAGATGATGGGAAGCTCTGAGTGGGACGGGGCAAGGCTTATGGATAGATGGACTTCCTTCGCAATAGGATGATGTTCTGGACTGAATTGTGTCCACCCCAAATGCATATGTTGAAGCCCTACACCCGAAAGTAGCTGAATGTTCTATGAGAGAGAGAACCTGTAAAAGGTAATTAAAATTAAATGAGGTCATTAGGGTGGGTCTGTAATCTGATGGGACTGGTATCCTTATAAGAAGAGGTAGAGACATCAGAGATTTCTCTCTGCTTGCACACAGAGGAAAGGCAGTGTGAGGACACAGAGAGAGGCACCTTCTGCCAACTGAGGAGAGAGGCCTCACCAGAAACCAAACCTATTGGTACCTTGATTTTGGACTTTCAGGCTCCAGAATTGTGAAAAAATACATTTCTGTTATTGAAGCCACCCAGCCTGTGGTGTTTTGTTATGGCAACCCTAGCGGAATAATATAGACAGGTGGGGACCTGTTGGTTTCCCTGGAGAACACTGCCCTCCCCCCTCAAATAAGAGCCTACAGATGTTTTCTGTTGAGTCATTCCGTTTCTTCAGACACTGATCACCTAACCTTTCATCTGGGAGTCAGTGTGGGAGTGGTTATAACTCTGGAAGCTAGAATTATGGGAGCTAAAGCAAGATAAGGGGCTATGGGGAAGAGTTAAACCAAGGGGATTTCAGTAAGTTTTTCACTTAAGTCTGGTGTCCCCAAGGCCGGGCCCTTTAGACTCAGTTTCTCCAGAGAGAAACCCTTCAGTCTCCTGGGATAGTGGAGAGATAGCCTTCTGGCTGAATATGTTGGGGGAAGGAATCTGGATCCAATTATTCATTATACAAACTTTTAACCAATCTTCTGTTTTCAAGCCTCACCCTTCACACCTGCCCTCACACGTATGTGGTGCCTCCAGCCTCTGAGGCTTCCCAGGGTCCTGTGCTTGCATAGACTTGCTTCTTGTTGGCTTCCTGACCCTTCTCAACTTTTTTACAGGAATTTAGGAAAGTCCAGAAAGCTAAAACCTAAGTGGTTCCTACTTCTCCAAATGCTTTGCTTTAATCAATGATGTCATTTAAAATATATTTGAAGAATATATTTACATATATGTATATTAAGAACATAATAATGCAGCGAACACCCATGAATATACCACCCAACTAAAAAAAAAAGTAAAAGATTACGAATACCAGTGAGTTTCTTCTACGATGGTTGTTTCCTGAATAAGTAGATTCATGCTTTTCATTTCCTCCTTCTCTCTGTTCTCTCTTCTTAAGGCCCGATCACGCCATCTCACTTTGGCTTCCATATTGGTAACCTCTCCCGCACAGTTTTCATTTCCTTCTTTCTTTATGTTTGTTGCACATAGTTTACCTAGGATCTCAGTACATTTGGGCATAGAGTTTGTGAGAATGTCCAGTCTTTCATACTGCTGGAAAAGGAAGTCCCAAATTCCATCTATATGCTTTCTGTCTTGTAATGGTTCATTGATATTGCTGATTGTCTGTCATCAACTCTTCTGAGTTTGGGATTTCTTTTTTTTTCTTTTCTTTTCTTCTTTTTTTTGCTTTTGTGATTTAAAACGTCTCAAGTTCCTTTTCTCTCATTTTAGAGGAGTTCCGGGAGAAATTTGATGAACACTTTGGTTCAGTCTGAAATGTTTACATGGAAGTTGATTAAGAATCTTTTTTTAGAATTGTGTAGCCCTGCGTTAAGAGGTCTGATATCCCCAAGAAAGGACACTCGTGCAGAAGTCTACTCAAAGAGTCATTGAGTATAGTTTTTGCTTAGGTGAAATTATTGGAACAAATCCCTACATGGCATTCTAAGTACCCTCTTTTGACGTTCTCTATCGTGAACCATCCTGTGGAGAGAGGGATGCATTCCAAGACTTACATAGATGGAAACCTTCACTTTGAAAATACATGTTTTCATTTCATAATAAAACTTTTAGAAAAGAATATTAGTCATCTTGATTTAATAACTGAACAACTTAAGCTGGTTTAGAGATAAGGAAAGACCAAAGTATTCCTATTAAACCCATTGTTCTTGTCTGTGAAGGAAAGGTCATGTCTTGAAATGGTCACTTCTTAATTTGAGAAACTGGAGAATCAGTCTACCAGTGCATAATCACTGCCGGGAGCTACTAGTTGAAGATAATATTTATCGATTCCACAACTTCTTTGAGCTGAATGTATTTTTGTAAGCCTAAATCTCGATTATGTGGAGTGTGAAAATATTTCACTGCAGGATATCAGTGTGGGCTGGTTTTATATCCAGACCGAAGCCCCGAGCAGCACATACCCCCACTGTTTCCTTTGTGAGCTAACAATCTGTCCACGGAGGTGAGCCCAGGTCATCCCTTTGCTATGATCAGTAGGGTCTTTCCTGGCAAGGCCCTGGCCCCTCCTGGCCCTGCCTACCCATGAGCAATGTGGCCCCTGGGGTGGGCTTGCTCTCCACTGTGACAAGCAGTCATCTGTCATAAAGCACAGGCTCTAATTACCCCTGCCATTAGCCTGCCCAGCAGGACTGCAGATGTTATTAACGGCCATGAAATTATCCAGTGCCTTTCAAAACTTCAGAGCCAGTCAGTGTTTGTCCCTGTGACCTCTCACATCACTTCGCTTTTTTTTTTTTCATTTTGCTGCTGTATTGAACCTTAACCTTGAGCACAAATAAAAAAACTAGGAGGAGCATGTCACTCTCCTCCAATTTCCCTTTCTCCCCTCATCAGCCCCCTAACCCCCTATTTATTTTGGGACCTAACTCAAAACTTTGCCTCATTGCTAGACTGTTTATTTTCAGGGAGCTCTCAATTATCTGAATGTGCCATTCTTTTGCGCCCCGGCCCATCTCATAGATTTTTTTTTCAAAAAATTAAAAATAACTTGTTCCTTATTAGAAAATCAATATATTTTCATGACTGGAAAAATTAGAAAAATGCAGATAAGCAGAAAGAAGAAGAAAAATCAATAATCTCACATTCTAGAGATAAACACTTAAAATTTTATGGTCTATCTTTATAGACTTGTCTATATAAGCAGAGAAATATGTGATGATTCTGCTATAATAATAATAATAATAATTTACATTTGACTTCTTACTATGTAATAGACACTGTTTGGATTACTTTTCTGTATATTAATTCATTGAATCACCTCAAGAATCCTGTGAAGTAGATTTATTTCTATTTTCATTTTGCAGATGAGGAAATTAGCACGGACAGGTTAAAAATATTGCCCAAAGCCTCATAGCTATTTAAGTGGAAGAGGTGGAATTTGAACCCAAACAATCTGGCTTTCAGCTCTAAATTCTTAAATAATATGTTATAATGTTAGCTAACCTTTTCTTAAATTTTATAAACTCTTAATATCTTTCCATGTTACTCAATGCACCACATAATTTTGAATAATTATGAAGACTGAATAGAATTTCAAAGTATGAATAAGCTCAAATTTCTTTAACCAAACATTAGAGTGGTTTTCCTTTTCCTGTCTTTATTTTATTTTTTGCTATGATCAACAACACATGGATTATTTTTAAATGAGATAATTCCTCAGGAATACGACCTTAGGGAAAGCAGAAGATAAACAATATGAACAAAATTCAGTTTATTTTATGTTTGTAAATGATAGTTTGATGCACTCCTTGGTTCTATTATTCTTAAGAGATAATTACCTACTTAAAAATGCTGATAATTATTGAACACTTTCTATGTGTAAGCCATATCCTAGTTGTCCTGTTAGGTAGGTGCTGATATTTATTCACAAATAATTTAGGCTCAAAACGAGATTTTGGTGAAGTCTCAGAGATTGAGGGGACAAGACTTCTTCAGTGTCTCTTCCTGTTATATAATGTCTTTTTTTCCCTGTTATTCCCAATTGAACATCAGTTTTTCTTGTCTTGTCTTTTTCTTTTCTACCTCCCCCCTCCTCCCCACCTCGCCCCAGCCCGCCCCCCCGAACCCAGACATTCTGTGCTCACCTTCATTTGGAAATTCTTCAACTCTGAGTATTCAGAAACTCTAACATAGCTTCCATCTAGTCCCTTTCTGGAAAGACATTCTGGCCTGCCATTTTTGTCTCATCTGAGTTGTAGAGCAGGTCTACATTTAGCTGGTAAATCCACTATGGCAATATTTATTTAGAATTTTTAGCTGATTGTCAGCTGGTCTGTATAAAATATATTTGAATTGTCCTCCAGCTGATAGAATGGACTGAAAATATCCAACTTCATAATAGACCCATTCTTCCATGAGTGAAGAGGCAGACCTAGGTTTCAGGCAAGTCACTGATTGACTAGTATGTGGGCAGAGATCATGTTCGTTTATTAACTTTTCCACTCTGTGCAGTGATGCCTAGCACACAGAAGACACTGGAGGCCTATTTGTAAAGTCGACGAAGTCTTAGGAAATCTGGCTTCTAGTTTCAGTTCTATTGCAGATTAGCTGTTGGAGTAGAGTAAATTACTAACCACTCGGCCCTTCAGCTGCCTTTTACATCTTACCCTCTTTGTAAATTTTGAAGACCCAGTGAAATTATTTCTGAAGATCTTTAATTTCCATTGAAGAATTGTTTGATATATTCTCAAGGTAATAACTTTCAACTCGAAGAGTAAAAAATATTGACTCTTTTATTTTGAAAGACGTGCAGTTTTAATTTCAAAGAATTGTTCAGGGCAAACAGGTAATCACTTAGATGTTTTAGTCTTTTTCTTCAATTTTAACATGTAAGATACTTTCCCATGGGTAACCTAGTATGGGAATTATGGACTAAGATGAGGATAAGAGAGACTGTAGGATTATGTATCATTCCCAGCCTACTAACTATAATTTTACCTTTCTCTGCAACTTAAGAAAACATATTGACTAAGACATATTTCAAAACTAGCATAATAAAACTGTGTGTGTGTGTGTGTGTGTGTGTGTGTGTGTGGTGGGGGGTGTAGGACAGGCAAACTGACCAAGAGGTAGAACAGAGAGCCCAGACACTAAACCATGTATCCATAGGAAACCACTATATAATACAGCTTCTTCCCAAACCAGTGGGAAGAAGATAAATCATTTAGTGGATGGTGTTGGGAGAACTGACTCACCATGGGAAAAAAAATTAGGGTCTTATCTTATAAGATACACACAAAAAAAGAAATTCCAAATGGATTCAAGACCTAAGTATAGAAAGAAGATAAGCAAATCTTACAGAAGAGTACGTAGAAGAATATCTTTGTGGCTCTGGGTTGGGAGTAAATTTCTTAACTAAGACCCAAACAATGTAAACCATAAGTAGAAAACTGATGAGTATGACAACATCAAAAGTAAAGATTTCAGTTCGAAACAATTAACCTACCTGACAGATGGCACTGGGGAAAGATGTTTGCAGTGTCCAAAATCAATAAGGAATTAAGGCCCCAAGGAACTCCTATAGGGTGGCGAGAAAAATATAGAAAAACCCACATAGGAAAAATACGGGCAAAGGACATAAGCAGTTTACAGAAGGAGAAATCCAAATTGCTAATAAGCTTATAAAGAGATACTTACTTCACCAGTAATCAGGGAAATGCAAATTTAAATTACAATGTGATCCACTTTAAAATCATCAGATTGTCAAAAATTGGAAATCTTATTAATATCAAGTGGTGA